GCTTAAATTAATGAAAATTAATCAATTTTAACAAATTCCCTTAATGAGCTCTGAAGTACTTGCTTGTATTGGACAGTGTCATTAATTAATAAAGCTAAAAATAACCTCTTTTAAGGCTCACAAGTTTTTCCAACATTGTGATCATCATTAACCCTTTTGGCTAATTTTATTTTCTATGATCCAAATTACATTCAACATGGCAGTTAATTAAGTGTGGATGCAAAAGACAAGGTAAACATCCCCAAGAAGTTGTAAGAAAAGCAAGGGAAAGTTTTTATTTTTATTTTCACCTTGTGAAGTTTTGAAATTTGAAACAAAAATAAGAGAAAAATAATTGGTCTTAGGCACACATCTTGTAACAGATCAAAAACTGTTTCATGAATGCTATAATGTACAACATTAATAAAAGTTCTATGACTTGGGAATCACTGAAATGCAATGCAAACATCGAAGACAAAACTATTAGCTAGAATGGATTTCTAAGCTATAATGTAGTCTTCTATCATATATACTGAAAATGATACAACATTGTGGTAATAAGAAAAGTAGTAACAAGAATAATAAAAAGAATTAGTTCAATAAAATAGTTCAAGTTTCTGCCAACAGATTATCTGAATGGCCCAGTGGATAAAAGCATTGGGAGTTCAGTCATAGGTAATGTAATATGTCCTATATGCTGGTTCATTGAAATAAAGAAATTTAAACTGTTGGGTATGTAAAGAAGTGAATTGTCTAAACATGTCAAAATGTTGGATATGCAAAAAGAGGAAATCAATTATGAAATTTGTAATTACTTTTCTCAAATTAATAGACAATTCATTGTATATTGCTCTGGTAATTTTCTAGTTAAACTAGTCTTATATATTTTAGTAGGAATAGAACATCAAAAACTACAAAAAGATGATGTAGTTTTCAGTAATTAATAAAAACTTGTATAAAAGTTACCAGAAGATATGCATGTGATAAATTATCACAGTGATTTTTCTATGGTTAGATGAAGATTAAATGCTATATTAAGATTTGTTATTGTTTGATATTACTAGACTGATTGAGGAATAGGGATAGATTTCCAATTTATGCAGAAAAAGAAAAGAATAAAGAAAGCCAATAAAGTAATGACAAATTCTGCCTAATGAATGGAAAAGACAAATTATCCCACTGAATTGATATTGTTAATATCAGTCAACTTAAGGGTCTATTCCTATAAACAAAAGGGGGCAGAAATATTAAATCAAAATCAACTTGGAACATAAGGCAACAAAATAGAATTTAGAGATAACAAAAGCAGGAGTACAATTTGAAATATAGTATGCCTCAGAATATACATATATAGATGTGCAGATAGTGTAACAGTTATTGGTACAAAAATTCACAATTGGTGAGTAACTTCAAATTCTGGTCATTTAAGTTTCACTCACTTCACACTAACAGCCTTAGAAAAGGCATGAATCAATCTCCAATTATCTATGGTTTAAGATAGCTTTCTTGCATTGAGTAGCGTCCGGTCTAGATGAAGATTGAGTAGCGTCCGGTCTAGATGAAGATTGAGTAGCAGCTGGTCTAGATGAAGAACAGCTCTGAATTCAAGCCTGAGGAGAGCTGCTTGGAGAGTTTTTGGTACAACGTACACTATCTATCTGTGATCAGTTCTTCCAGAAATTGTTTCTGGTTCTACACAAGCCTTCACCACCAGAATCAAATTATATATGTGGATAGTCTAGTGGATCAGCTCTAAAGTAAACTGGTTAGGTGCTCATACATCAAAATCATTGAGAGAGTTAAGTATGGCTTGGAACCACTAAACCAGAGATCATTGATAGTCATCCAATTATCAGAAACTTCCAGTGGAACTTATTTTAGATATAAACATTCACTGATGCTTTGGCTTTTGCAGTTCTATGTTTTACATGTTATCAGTTACTTTTTCTGCTGGATAGTTGAATGAAAACTACTCTCACTATTACTGTAGTGTTTTCTGTTTAATTGTGAGCTAGGGTCTATTAACTGTTGGAAGTTGAGTGACAATTGAGAGTAAAGTTGAAGTCATTTTGAGTAAAAGTTACAGTTCATATAACTAGAAGTTTATCTGTTATAATATCAATTGGATACAAATGTTGTCCAATCTACTCAAAAAATATCCCATTACAACTTTTTCCATATTATAGCTTTGATATCTAAAATAATAAAAGATATATATATATATATATATATATATATATATATATATATATATATATGTGTGTTATTAAAAAAAAAATGAACTGATTTCATGATGCATTGCTTCAGTTCTCAAGCATCATCATGGAATGAGTCCATAAGCATTTGAAAGAGGAGTTTTTTTAAGTTTTGAATGGCTGTCACAAAGGTGATATAGTTATGTTGTATCTACAGCAATATTCAGTTGTTTGTTTACCCCTGGAATAGCAAGTCCTCAGCAAAAGGCATTCTGTGTTCTGGAAAACAAATACAGTTGTCATGGTGCAGTGTGATTTTCAAAGGCAATTTGACATTAATCTGCCCTCTCGTAAAAACATTCAATGGTGGTTTAAACAGTTTCAAGAGAATGGATGTCTGTGTAAAGGAAATAGTCCAGGATGACCACGAGTTTCAGAGGAACAAGTGGTGAGAATCCATGCTGTGTTTGAGGGGAGTCCTCAGAAGTCCATGAATCAAGCTAGCCGTGAGCTTGCAATCTCTCAATCCATTATCTGGTGTACACTAAGAAGACATCTATATTTGGAACCTTACACACTATGCCTCATTCAGGCACTTACCAAGACCTTGCTCTTTGTGCTTGGCCTGCAAGATCCCCAGACCTCACCATGTGTGATTTTTTTCTTGTGGGGATACATAAAAGATCACGTTTATGTTTCACCACTACCCACTAAACTTGATGACCTTAAACATCAAATAACAGTGATCAACTCGGTGAATCATGATATGAAGATACACATCTGGGAGGAATTCTCTTACCACATTTATGTTGCCCGTTCTGCAGGTCGTGGCCACATTGAGCACATGTAAGACAGGAAATAAAAGTTGATTGTGAATAGAATACTTGTGACTTGGCTGGAGTTTTCTATTGTTTTTCCTTATTAAAATATTGCGTAATGAAATCAGTTCATTCTTTTTTTAATAATCCTGTGTGTGTGTGTGTGTGTGTGTATATATATATATATATATATATATATATATATATATATAAGTGAACATAGAAGTCAACATTTAGAGGTGACAGTCTGTTTTCATGCTATATGCAATCATTAGGCCTGATGATTGCATATAGCATGAAACAGACTGTCATCTAAGTGTTGACTTTTATGTTCACTTTTATATTTACACATGCTCTATCTCTGATATTAAGCACTTTATTCCATAAATATAACACACCTTAAGACTATATTTCTTTATATATATATATATATATATATATATACACACACATGGAAGTATAACTACCTTTGAAAAGCAGCCAATATGATGGTTAACCCTTCAGCATGTCCCACATGTCGACTTGTTTGCAAATCCTGTGTAGGATTGTTGTCTCATATGAAGCATAAACATAAAAACTGATCTGAAAGACACTCATATGTCAAAAATTATGGGTGAGTCCATCATCATATATATATATATATATATATATATATATATATATATATGAGAGTGCAAGAGACACTGTGATAAGTATTGAAAAAGTATGCAGTATGTGAAAAGACAGTAAATAAAGAAGACCTTACTTGCAATGGCCCTAGAAGAGACATGACCAGCCCAGGTGGTATCTTTTATGTTCCTTATTTAGGACATATGTCTTTTATTGATTCACTGAGCCACTGCTGGCAACCATCTCTGTCTTGCAATATGAACAGCAACTGACTATTGTGAACTATGTGCTATCATAACATGAACTCCAAAGCCACTTAAAACACTAGTAAATTGATTGTGTAAAAAGCGGATATATATGTATATATATACACACACACATACATACATACACAAGTATAGGATTGGTGTATACAGAATAAATTCCAATAATCAGCAATTACTATTCTTAAAAGAGTGATCAATACAGAGTAGAGCAAATATAATTTATTCAAAAATTATAACACAAATATGTTATAAAATCACTACAAAAATAGCCATTTTGTTTCAACACCTGGTGTCTTATCAAGTGATGATGTTGAATGTAGAATAAAGGGTTTTTAAAGCCCTTTATTCTACGTTCAACATCGTCACTTTCTTTAGTAACCTTTGCTCATGATTCATGAGGAATAGCAATTTCCTAATGAAAATTAACCTTGAAAATATTTAATCCCAGTGATTCTTAACCATCTTTGCCCATATTCCAGGATGTCATTCTCTGCTTCTGAGATTGTCTGACTCAAAAGGCGCATTGTAGAATTGTAGTTTGAAGACAAATCAGTATTCTAACAGCTTGAATCTGCCAATAAGTTGTCCCAGTTTTTCTCTGAAGTCTTAAAATTCCTTCCCAGATGCATGAACCATTGTTCTACCTTTCAAATAATAGACTTTGTTATTAGTTCAAATTTAATGACTCTCTCGTAGATTTAATACCTACTTCTTGTTATTTTTATATTTCCATTTTCCCCCTATAGACTGCTGTCCTTTTTTAAATTTTATTTATCTATAATTACTTAGCTGAGGAGTTTTGGTGGCCCCCTTTTTTTTTTTTTTTTTTTTTAGAAATTAGTGCATATATCTTTTTTTGCTCTCGCACACTCTTCTTTTTTTTTTCTTTCTCTCCTATATAACTATACAAAAGAGTTTTAATTAAAAAAATCTTTGGAAACATCAGTGCAGATATAGCCTGTTAGGAGTATATGTTAATTACTTCATTTTTTTTCATACCAAGTTGATTTTTCCATGTAGGTAAAGCGATTTGAGGATCAACGACGGCTGACAGATGGCGATGATCACCACAATGTAAGCTGTTTTACCAACTAGTCTTCTGTTTCAATTCAAATCTGGCACTAACACCACCTATGGCTGCTTATTCTTCTTTTCATTTCCTTCTAATAAACTTTCTCTATGGCTTTCAGCTTTCAATTTCCAGCACATTATTTTTTAAACTGGTCTTAAGTATTCACCTCTCAGCTTGGTTGAGGCTCCTTTTTCTTATAATCTTTCCGGTAGTGGCCCTCCTGCTCTTCTATCTTTATGTAGTTTTCACTCTTCTTTAGCAGATATAAAAACCTTTTCAAGCATGCACCACTCAAGTAATATAACGTCTTCAAGCTGATCTTTCTTTTCTTCCTCTCTCTTTCACTGTAAATGTGTTGTATTCAAATTATTCTGCCTATGTTCTTTATTAGATGTGTAAAATGATATTCTAAAATAAAAAAAAATTGTTGGAAGTCAATTTAATGTCTGTTCAAGATGAGGTTTGTTAAATTAATTGATTTTTGACTTCAAAACAAAATAAAATGTAAGAAATTGTAAATAAGTTTAAATAATTTGTAAAACAAAACATCCCAAAATGACTATGCTTTAATTAATGTACAATTTTGATTAGGTTGTTGCAAAGGTTCCCAGTGTCAGCTTTTTAATGTTAGAAAAATCTTAGAAGTGTTTTTTATCACTTGTAAAGTATTTATTTATGGAAACAAACAATGACCATTATTTAAACACTCGTCTTTCGGTATTCAGGAAACAGACATTTTTAACAACAGGGTTATTTGGTGAGAATCCAAAAGAGAAATTATTTTGTTATGAAGTTCTGGCAACCAGATAATAGTTACTGGGCTTGTTTGAATGTTATATCAAAATAGAAGATGTATTTTTTCTCCTTAAGGAAGTCAGCTAGTGATTTTACAGCATAATTACTTGTTCTCATATTGCAAATGTGATGCAGCAAGTGATCACAGTGCTAGAATGGGAAGTTCTTCCGCATGAAGAATATTTCTACAGACTTGTAAACTTCAGGCTATCATTTTATTTTTCACTTTATGCAACACCCCTGATCTGATGGTTAATTACAATTCTTTAAATTGAAACTAGAATTGTTCTTTTATAAACACAACTATGCTTTAAATAACAGAGCAGACTGGACTTTGTAACTTTAGATGGTAGCCAGTCTAGGGGAAGGACTATTCTGAATTAAAAATTGTAGATATTGCAATAGCAAACTACCTCACTATTTTTCTCATATCAATTCAAAGATAATAAAGAAAAGGAGTCAGTGGAGAGCCATGATTGCCTAAATTCTAAAGAGACATTACTTTTTTAAAATTAAAAGAAAAAATTTACATGAGAGGTAACAAGGATATTTTGACAATTGAATAATGATGTTATAAAGTTACTTAAAAGAGTTTGTCAAAAATACTGGAAACTTTTGCATCAATCTAATATGTTTCAGTGCTTATCTGTCAGCGACCCAAACATTTTGTAATTTAATCATTAAAAAATGCTTGTGATTTAAAATTTTGAATTTTGTTTCTGGTAAAGAGTCATTAATGTGAATGCATGAGTATGCTACAGATAATTTAAATCAAATACAAGTTATTAATGATTCAAATATATAAAAAGAAAGAAATTTTAATATTAAAATATAATTTTAAAACCCTTTGGCAAAGTACTAGTTTGCATGTTTTTTTTTCTTGAATTTTAGAAATAGTAATTTCTATTTGAAATGTAATTTCTAAAATATCTCTAAGTTGATAAGATGTGTTAAATAAGATTGACATTTTACTGAAAAGATAAATTTTTTGTGACTTTAAAAAATGTCAAAAAACAAAATAAAAAAATTAGTTCAAGTTTATTCTGTTTGATCAACATAACCTCAAAAATGTTATATAATGTTTTCTTTTGCTTTTCTTAATTTCCCCCTATCTTTCTCAGTTTTTCTCCCTTCTCTTCATCCTGTTTCTCTTTCCTTCATTTTCTTCAGTTTTCCTTCTCTCTCTGTTTAACTTAATTTATCTATCTCAATCAATCTTCACTTACTCACTCTCTCTCTTCCTAACTTCTTCTCTTCCTCTTCTCTTTTGGGTTCTCTATCTACCATCAATCACTCCTCATCCCTCCATTCTGTTATTTTCAATATTTGCTAAGCTTAGCTTAGTATGGCACAAGGCTAAATGAAGAAAGAAAAATTGTGTTATAGCACTCTTCCAAAATCGGGAGAGCCTTTCTGCTTTGAAAAATCGGCATTCAGAATTCTGACTTTTAGCTGGGTTTGAACACTCAACTCAGTTACATATGTCCCATCAATGTCAATTTCAGGCACAGGATAGTCTGTTATTCTCAACTTACTTTTACCTCCCAGGGTAAAAACACATTAATGCCCATCATCCCATTTTTTGAGAGATTAGCCATTTCTGGGTTATAGGTAGAAACCTATAATAGCAGATTTTTATAAACCTATAAAACTGGATTTTCTAATTAAAGTTTAGATGTGGTGTAATGGATAATGACTCAGAATTAGAAATCTGAGAGCTGAGTTTGAATTCCAGACAGATTCATTACATTCATTTATGTGCATTTTCACTTGGGAAAAGTACGAATCCATCTCTTCTTCCCCAGTTATGTTTAAATAGCAAAGTAGACTGGGCTCTCTAGCCTTGGTTGGCAACCAGTCTAGGATAAGGAAAAGACTGTATTCAAACCAGCCTGGAGAGAGTTGGGCTCCATCAGTCTATCTTGTACTAGACACACTATTACTGGTATGGATGCTTAGCTCCTACCTTTCTGGTTTTCACTCTCCTTCCAAATTTTTTTTTTTTTCTTCCTCATTCTTTTCTCTAGAAGTCCTTCTATCTCTTCACCTTTTAGGGTGTCAGTGCTCTTTCCTTTTATGTCTTCTCTCTTCATTTTTATTTCCATCTTTTCATCCAGTTCCTTACAAGAGTGGGTGAAAAAAGTACATAGCTTATTTGCTGAATTTTGATCTGAAATGTTCACTGTATTAGCAACACCTTTATTTTTGAGCTGTACTTTTTACTACTGATCATAGAAAAAGGGTTTGATTAGTTGCAATGAAAAGCAACTGAAATTATAATGAAATAAATACCGGTTGAAAATTAACAGTAATTACAATATGATTAATATTTACTACTGAATTCAATGCTTTCACAAGGCAGGAGATTGTTGAAAATTGTTCATTATTAGGCTACAGATTTATATATTTGCCTATTAACATTGGTCTCTTCATTCTTTCTTTTAACCAAGATGTACCATTTCCTAAAAATCAATAAGTCAATCTAAAATGCCTTCTTTGAACAAACTTCAGAAAATGTGATCTGAATAAAATAATAACAGAAGCTCTGATAATATTTACTCTTCTTATGAAATAATAATAATAATAGAGTAGTTATGATTGGGAACTGTGCAAAAAAACTATATTTTGACTACACTGACCATTAGTATATGCACAAACCAGGAACTGTCCTAGAGAATGAAGCACATAACATCATCTGGACAGATAACCAGATTTGTTTATTTTTATATTATTGTTCACCCAATACAAAGCCCAAGTGTCACTCAAGGTAGAGGGTTACTAAATGAGGTTGTTGTAAGAGCATACAAGGAGAGAGTAAGAGGTGAATATTATGAGGATATATAGGATAAATAACAGTTGTTGCTAGACTTAAAGAGGTTAAGATTGTGGTGATCAAGGAAGCATCCATTTGGAAGTTTGTTCCACAATGTAACAATTCCAGGGAAGAAGTTGTTTGAGTGGAACTTCCTCCTTACTAATGCAATATGAAGGGAATGAGAATGATTCAAATCATTGGAGGGCCCAAGCTGTATTAGTATTGGTATTATTAAACAAAAGAAGACAACATTCAGAGTTATACATTTTGTTGTTCTGGCAGATCACAGAGTAGATGTGAAAGAAACTGAAAAAATTGTCGTACATGAATGTGTCAGTCATTCATCAGAGCACAGAACAATCCAAAAAATACCTGGGAAAAAAGTGAAAGAAGTAAAAATTAGGGGGAAAGAATTGGAAACATCCAGATGTCAGCATTGTTGAAAATGGGAATGTGCAGGACTCTTGAGGAGACTTGGTGTCAGTTAATCTCTGGTGTAAGCTACATTATCATCATTATGAAGAAGAAGAAGAAAATAAGCATAAGCACTTTTCACAACATTTCTATTGAACTTAAAAGTAGTTAAAGAATAAACAGCAGCAAATGTTTACATTTAAAAATAATTAGAATTCTCATATAACCTGTATTCAATATGTTTTGAGATTTGTTACCCCTACAAAAACAAATATAACATTTTTCTTTCTTTTAGTGCACAATCAAAGGGACATGTGCCATCCAGAAATTTCCTAGTTTCCTCAGCTATTGCTGTAAATATAGAAGTATTATTTTGACTCTCCCTCTTAATGCATTCAGGAGGTACTGTATGAGTTATGAATCCCTATGCACCAGAATCCAGTTAATTATTATTATTAATTTACAGCTCAAAAGAGCAGAAATCTGGAATTCATATGATTTTGTAAACAATAGGAGTATTCAGTTTTTTCTTGTTGCTTACATCATATTGGTATCATTCTGGCTTGACCAGTTGTATATACAGGGATAGCAAAAAGTCGTTTTACCTATTTTCAATAATAATAATAAACACAAAATGATAAAAAAAACTAAGTTTAGCTGAAGTATGTGAATACCGATGAAAATAAAGAAAATGTTTGTTATATTGAAATTATAATTGTATTTGATTAAGTAAAAAATGTTATTTAGAAATTTGTGTTTATCATTATTACGGGTCGGGTAAATTATAACTATTGGCCAACCCCTATTTAACAAAGATTGTATTTAAGCAAAAAAAGATTGACCGGGGAATTTCTGGAAGATAATGTTTTTATATAATAATAATAATAACCATAGAAAATAAAACAAACTAATACTGCTACTATTAATACTAATTGTGTAAGAACAAAAACACACATGGCACTGAGAAGGAGCATGGAATAGTGTGATGAGTTTTAGGTTAGATTTGAGCAGCATTTATATTCATTTAATCCAAGCATAAATTCTGCAGAACGTAAAGATAACAGGAATTAAAAAGTTACCTAATGTTTTTAACTGAACTTGTATTAATGAAAGACTATTCTCTAAAAACACACACAGATACACTTGCAAGCACACAAACACACACCCATATATATTTGTATATATACAGGGATGGCCAAAAGTCACTTTAGCCATTTCCAGTAATAATAAACAAATTTCTAAATGAATTAAAATTAGATAGATGATAAAAATGAAGCGGGCAGCTGAAGTATGTGAATACTGATGAAAATAAAAAAATTGTAACTGTTACATTGAAATTATAATTGTACAATGATTAAATAAAAGTTATGTTATTTAGAAATTTGTGTTTATCATTATTGGAAATGGGTAAAAAATAGCATTTAGCCAACCCTATATATTATGTACTTGTTGTTCTCTGGTTGTACTAAGTAACAAATAACTTCTGGATACTTGAAACATAACTCCAGTCCATTATGTGTCACTTGCATATGACTTGCATCTGCACTTTCACTCCTGTTCATAATCTGCTTCTGCTTTCAGAATGATTCTCTTCAAAATGCAGTTTTGCAGAGAAACAAGATTTAAATCTCAAGGCTCATCTATTACGTTATTTTCCCTCTCGATTTATACATGTTGGAAACTGCCAGATAAGTGGTAGGTGTAGGTGATGTCCCAGAAGTAGTAAAAATTCCCAACAAGGAGAAAAATAAACATGAATGAGACAATGTGACTGAAATTTTTAATAAATGATTAAAAAAACTTTGTCTTTCACAAAGTTTTTTTAATCATTTATTAAAAATTTCAGTCACACTTGTTTTTTTTATAGCTGAAATAGCAGCATCTTCCCCACTGGTAAAACTTAGAATTTTCAATGCTGATTTTCAAAGGCAGGCAATCCTTAATTTGGAAGATTTCTGTAACATCTTCCTACTCTGATTTCCCCACTCCCAATTGTCATCTGGTTAAACTAAAGCTTAGTAAATATCTAGTACAGACTCCAATTTCCAGATGCACTGAACCCTGTTAGTACTTCCATGTGCAAATAAGATTTCAATAATCCATAGCCTTTGATAATTAAAACCATAAAGTATGTTATAAAATCACTACAAAAATAGCCATTTTGTTTCAACACACTCTGTGTCTTATCAAGTGATGGTGTTGAAAAGAAAATAAATGGTTTTAAAAGTTTCAGATTAATTAACGATCCTACACTAGGGGGAGCATTGTTACAAAAGCTAGAATAACCAATCAAAAACGAAGTACAGAAAGATTCAAAAGCTTGACAACAAAATCCTGCTATTATAGCTATTTAGATCTTTAAATACGTGTAATATTAAAAATAATTTTTACTAACTAATAATTATAAAATTTATATGATAAAATTTAATATTAAAATTAAAAACTGGCAATTTTAAAATCCAAATTTAATCACTATTAAGTTTAAAAACTACAAAATTATTGAGAAAAGAAAAAATATATATATTTATTCAATTCATTTCTTCATTGAAATTACGTCTGACAAGACAAAACGCTACAATTCGTCCGGTCATCTGATAATACATGTATATATTTTTTTTTTCCGTTTTATTTTTATTTTAAAGTTTGTGAATATGGTCTTAAACTCACGCGTGACACAACAAAAACACAATCAGATTATAATACATACGCATCCAGACATAATTAGATACATACACACACACACACACACACACACACACACACACATATACACACACACACAAAAAAAAAAAAAAAAAAAAAAAAAAAAAAGAGGTGGGGGGAATACATGAACAACTCCACAGCCCTTTACGAAAAAAAAAGGAGACGTGGAAACTAACACTTATACACACACACAGTTAAATGTGAATACACTCTACATACACATAGACACCGATATATACACAAACATACATCCACAATGGCATAGACATTGAGAAATCACAACCAGTAAATATTTCAGACTTAAATAAATGCTAACCACTTATTGAATTATAACTTAAGGGAGCAAATATATAAAGATAAAAATGTTTAAAAAATAATATTATTTAATATATTAAAACGAAAACTCTAAAACAATAAATATCAATAAAAATATATATATATTATTAATCATATAAGTTGATAATAGTTTCATTATATATTTGGCAAAGAAAAACAGGATAAAGAAATCCACAAATATATATATATATATATATATATATATATATATATATAAAAAAACAAATTAACACACAAAAAAAAAAAAAAAAAAAAAATATATATATATATACATACATATACGTACAGAAATACACACAAATAAATATATAAACATAAACATATACGTACATATACATATCTATGATAACAAGTACATATGTACGTACATATACATATAAACCTAAATACACACACATATATACACACATAGACTTTTATGCACACATACTTAGATATATAAAAAAACAGTCATGATATACCAAAGTTTCCATACCTACACATACACACAAACTCATACATAATAGGTTCCAACACACACACATATATATATACATACACAAACATACATAAATATATATACACACATACATACATATCTACAAATAAACATATATATATATCCATAAATATATCTACCTACAATAACAACCACCCATATATACATGCATACATAAAAAACAACAACTTTCAACCAAATACATATATAAACGAACTAACATATAGATACATAAATATACCTTCAAACACCAACACACAGCAATATACATATAGTCTAACATACAAATATATAAACACATTCATACAAACAGAAATATACTTAAATATAAATACACATACACAATAAAATAGGACATACAGATATATAT